CATTTTGTGCAGTTATAGAGTCAGAATGACTAATGCAATTTATAACGAAGAGATCTTATTACTGTGTACTTATTTTGTTTGGACTATATTATCAAAGTTCTAGATAAAAACTACAAGACACTTAACAAAGAATAATTTATATACAGTATAAAGAATAAAGAAATATATAATGTAAATGCCCATAGCATACAAAATTATGACATTTAGGAGACATTTGATCAGATTGTCATGCTTTGTGGCAGTGCAGTTGGCTAACTATTTGGTGACAAAGTTCTTGATTTCCTTCTTTAGCTAATTTCATCAGCCTTATTCGGAGAGGGAAACACTTTCCAGATTCTTTTGACTATTTTTGCATCTACAGTCCTTGTTTGTAAAGCCCCCCCCCCCCTTACAGTAGGCAGCAAACAGTGTTGGCGTCACGTTTGAGCCCTCCTTTAGGCGCCAGCCTCCTTGGAACACTTAGTTTCCCTGTGAAAACAAACAAACTGCCAACAGAAAACCGCATATGTGCTCAGCACACTTTCCATATCTTTAGGAAAATACCTAGGGAGTTGATAAATAAGGCATAGCGCTCTGCCACTGCTGCAATTACTGTAAAAGCATTTAAACACATTCCACTGTTGGCACACGGGTGTCATCCGAGCTAAAACTGAAACCATGAACTATGGCAGGTTTTCATAGTTGTGAGTATTTTGTGGAATTTGAGAAAGAACACTGGAAATGGAAGTTTTCATAACAGGAATAGATCTGGATAAATGTGCATGAGAAGAGCTGGATGAGCTGTTTGTGTACTTGCTCAACTGTGGGCATGAATCCACAAATTATGTGGACAAGTCCCACCACAACAGTGAGTTTCTTCACAGCGAAAACAGTTTAGTTTTTTTCCAAGTCTGTAACGTGAACATCCTCCTCAGATATCAAAGTGTGGGACTGTCTGTGCTTTCCCAACAGTTTATGTAGAGTCAACCTTAAAGACTCAGCTAGTTACTCATTCTTGCTGCTGCTACAACTAAATTTACCCATTGAGGAACAATAAAGGATGTTAGACACTAATTGGCCGAAAATAAAAAAAAAGCCTCTCATATATTTCATCGGACCTCCTTTAGCTTTGATCAAGGCACATATTTGCTGTAGCATTGTTTCAGTTAGCTTCTGCAAAGTCACCAGATTTATTTCCATCCAGTGTTGCATTAATGTTTCACCAAAATCTTGCATTGATGATGGTAGAGTCTGACCGCTGCAGAAAGCCTTCTCCAGCACATCCCAAATATTTTCATTGGGATTAAGGTCTGGATTCTGTGGTGGACAATCCGCGTGCGAAAATGATGTCTCATGCTACCTGAACCACTCTTTCACTATCTGAGCACGATGAATCCTGGCATTGTCATCTTAGAATACGCCCGTGCCATCAGGAAAGATGGAATAATCTGGACATTCAGGATATTCAGTTAGTCAGCTGACCTCATTCTTGGAGCACATCCTGTTGCTGAACCTAGACCTGATGCTGTGAGTAAATAAGCCGTTAGGTCACACATAAGCTTCAAATATATTAAATAACATCACTGCAATGCTTTTATTTTGAAAATTGCCAGGGATTTTACACTGAAACCATGTGTGATTTCATGTCTAGCCCTATGTTAACTGTGGTAATTGACACATCCCAGAACGGCTCGTGGAAAAAATAGAACCCGATCCTATCTTCCCCGGCGTGGCGTGCCGCTTCTGAAAATTGCCGTGTCACAGCTGGTTTGTGGCACACCATAGACTGTAATGGATTCTATTTGAAGTAGTGCTGTTCCGCGCCGCTTTTGCTTCCAGTGTGCAGTAGGGGTAATAAATACACACATACAGGCTGACAGTAGCATTGTGACATCATATGGTACCAGCTAACATCATTGGGTACCTCTTAGCCAATAGCAATGGCAGATTTAATTTGAGGTGTAGTGCAGAGTGCAAACCTGAAGAGGGCGCAGCTCTGATAGCTTCAGGCAGAATCTTTACATTTTAACAAAGATACACTAAAGTGCCAAATTATTGATTCCATTTGTCAACAGCACAATTAGACACTCATATATATAGTTTATCAGCAAAATAAAGTTGTTTTGGGGGTGACTTGCTCTTTAAGAAATGAGAATCAACTCATTACACCAGCTGGGGTAAATAACTTGTTGCAAGCTGAAAGATAATCACCCATGCAGTAATAATCCAATAGGAGCTTGTACCTATTAGCTTAGTTAAATCCAGGTGGTGACTTTTTTTGGCCAGGCAGTGTATTAAAAATAAATAATAATAAAACACAAATGTGGTTTTACAAACAGCATGCCCAGTTTTCTTTGAAGGCACAAAGTGAGGAAATGATTTTTATGGGAATCAAGCGACATCCCTCAGGCTGTTGTTTACGACAACAATGACTGGAAGGAAATCAGCTGCAGCTCATGTGATAACATGATTTGTGGTCATTATAAATCCAGAATGAGCATTTTTATGCATTAAGACATTTTTATGCATTTGCAGGCTGCTATTTTAGGCTTTCCTCATCTGGCCAAGAGTCAGTCGGCTCAGATATGATGAACAAATACACACACACACACTCCACATATGTAGAACATATGGTGGTTTTCTGCAGCTCTGCACAAAAAGTTGCAACAATGGCGAGTTCAATGAGGATGTTTTACCTAACTACCACCCATGTGATGGATCACCCATCTGGATTAAAACATGTTAGACAGAATCTGAAATTGAAATAACACAGGCCTTGCTGCATGTTTACAACTGAATATGTTTTGCATGCTTCATTTTTGGTTCAAATCTTATTAAACCATTTGACATGTATTATTATTGGAACACATAAGTGTGGTTTTACCGTACTTTACACATAGACCTATATTCGTTGCTGCTCTGTTCAGCTGTTAGCTCATGTCTGTTGTAAAAATGAACTTGCAAGTATTTTTGGGGGGTATTTTTTACAGTGTTACACAACCTCTGGGAGACTATGGATTTATGTACACAAAGCCCACAGTACTTAAACACTGGTTTTATGGAGGGGTGAAGCTGGGATCAATCCACACAACTCTGTATGAAGATAAAGGGATGTTTCTGCTGTGGATCTGGTTAAAAGGCCCTGCAAGTCATCGGCTGTGAACCAAACACAGTCCCATTTGCATTCCTCAAGGGCAAGCTGTCCAATATTATCTCTTCTCACTCCATCAGAGGCCCCTGAAGCCACAATGGACTTGCTGTGTTAGCTTCTTCCTACATCACACACACCGGAGAGAGGCCAACTTCAGAGGTGCCTAATTATGCTGACCCGACAGCAGTGAATGCACCTGCAGGCACAGGTGTTTAAGTCCTTAAGGCCCTGCCTTTAAAAGAAATGTCACAGGTCTTTCCGGTAAATGAGTTTTATCGCTACGTTTCCCCTAAACCAAGGAAAAACCGTGGCAGCACATCTTGCATCTCTTTATTTGTGAAGATGAGGAAAATACAAGTCAGCACATGCATATATAGCTTGGTTTGTGTTTTGTATGAATTACTGCTCCTGTGCAGGTGTGAAATCCCACATCTGCATGTGCGTGGTACAGGTTGAGCTGCCACGGTGGGAGGAGACCGGCTCTATCATGTAACATTCCCTGTGGAGGATTAGGGTTGTTCGAGGGGAGATAAGACATCGCAGGATCGGTGCACTGTTAAATGTATCTGCCAGAGTCAGCAGAGAAGCAGCAGAAACTCTGCCAACATTCCTGTGGCTCAACAGCGGCTAAAGACTCCCATCTCTTCCCCAAAACGCAAAGAAAACCTGATAAGAGAAGCCTCTAAAACCACTGAATCGTGGAGAAGTAAAGCGCTTCCTATTTGGGTTTGCGTAAAAGGAGGTGTCTATCTGAAAAAAAAATATCTGAGAGGAAAAATGTGCTCGTGCAGCAGTTTTCAGTGGAAATAGCTGTGTGGGGATGAGACTAAATATTTACAGTAAAACTGTAGCACTCATGAATTAAATCTAGAAAGCATCCTGATCAAATTTATGCAAAACGTAATTTTGCTTTAGATACTTTCATAAGATCTGCTGACCCCTGGTTTTATTTGTATGGTAAACATTGAATGAAAGAACTGCATTTATCTCCAGGTGATGGAAAACACATTCTGATCCTTTGATGCTTCTTCCTTTGCTGGAGGCAGATGAGACCCCAGAAGATGTTAGGAAATAACGTTTTAATTTATTACACTGTATCACCAGATGCACAGAAGAGTGGTATGGATCTGTGAAAAAACGAGGACATCTAGTGGTGGGAGGTGGAACTGCTAATAAAATGCATTTCATCAACAAAGGCAGCTTGTATTTTCAGAATAAAGCTAAAATAATCTATACGATCACTAATGAAGTCTGAGAGGCTTCAAGCTGCTGTGCAGTGAAGGACTGATGATCTGTCGCCAGCTGATGCACCGGCTATAGGGCATGATGTCTATAGTGGATGACAAGGACCTCTCCACACCTGCGCCAACATGCCGCACATGAGCTCGTCTGCCATTGCCAGGTTTCTAATTTAACATTTATTGACCGCCACTCAGTAAAGTTACAGGGGCTCACGCTGTCCAGCGATAAGGAATCCTCATTTAATCTACTAACATAGCGATGAAGTCCTGCGGCCGACTTCTCACAGTGGACATAATGAACACAGCTGTGTCTTAGGGCTTGAATGGGGCTTTGCTGCACAGTTGCTGCGGTGACACAGGGTGTGTTTGATCTGCGGTGAGCTGCTGCAGACGGGAGGCAAAATATTAAAAGGTCAAGGATTGCCAAAGACACAGAGCTGGGACTAGGAGTGTGGTGAGGGAAGGTGAAAGACTGATGGTGAGGATGAATTACCAAAAAGGTCAGAACCAGCCTGCGGATGCTTTTCTCCCCTGCACACTAACACCACCTGCTAAGTTACCGCCTGTGTCAGAAAGTGAAGTCTGAACAGAAAATCCTACCGGTGCTGTTGTCAGTGAAGGTCCAGAGGTGGAATTTAAATACAGTCTTTATTGGGATTGTGGACATCTCTCAAAGGCATAATAACAGCTACACGAGCATGTACAGTTTAAGGACAAATACTCACTTTTACAATAGCTATTAGAAGGCTTTTGCCTCCCGCAGATTCTTTTTACCAGCTGCCTTTAAATCTGAACAACAAACATCAACCTTAAACCTATGAAAATCTAAATAATACACACATTTATATCATGTCTTTAAAAAGTTTTTGTGAAGAAAAGGAAGAATGATCATCTGTTACATCATTCTTTCAAAGTAAAACAACTTTTGATCTGACTGCTGAGACGTTTGATGTTTTACGCTGAGAGAACAGATCCAGTGCTGTGAAACATCGTCGCCCGTTTACAGATTTCTAGTTTCTTCTTTCCCTCTTTTCCCACAAGTAAACGTTTCAGAAACAGCAAACTAACTTCAGTATCAGACGAAGGTCAAGAAAGTAAATACAAAACTCAGTTTTTAATGATTTTGTTTAAAAAAAAGGAAGACAAAGTCTCCTTTCTTGTCTTTACTGGGATTGTTTTCCTTTTTCAGGACCTGGATGATGTGCTGTAACTGATGGAACCATATCATCTGCTCCTGATGGAGAATATTTGACCTTTGACCTTAAACAGGCTGTTCTTCCTGTAGCCCTCCAATGTGGCTGAAATGAAACTATTCTGCATCGAGGAGCGGGACAAAATTCCTCCTTATAGATGTGACAGACCCATTACCAGTCACCACCAAAGCCTGATTGCAGCTGTTACACTCTAAAAAATGAAATGTTGAAATTACTTCACCAAGTTATGTCTACTGGTTCCACTAGTCGCTTAAGTGGAAAGGTTAATATATGTTGTTATATGTTGTCATGGCAAAAGTAAATGTATATTACTCTTTACATTTAGGCAACTAGGTTTAGTGGAGCCAGTTGGCATCATTTGGTTAAATGTGAACTTTGTAAGAATAATGTAAGAAGAACCAAATCTGGTTACTTCAGCACATTTTCAGCACAAACAAGTGACTCTCATGGCTGTTGCCAGCTACGGGTTAGCATCAGAAGATTCTAGATGACACGTGAAGACGAGTCATACACCGCAAGTTTATAAGTAGATGAATACATTTCACTGTAATATTGAGTTTTTGGTCATTGAATAGTGGCTTGAAACATTTTAGAGCCAATGATTTGTTTCAAATTCACCGTTAGCATTGTTAGCTCAATGCTAGCCTGTAGCCAGCTTCAACCGATATTAAGAGTAAAACAAAAAGGATGCCGTGGCTTCTTAACGGGTACAAGAAATAATTTCTTGGCTGCTCCCGTTGCTAGCTTAGAATAGAATTGAAAATACTTTATTGATCCCACAGTGGGGAAAGTCACTTGTTACAAAACTAGAATAACTAGAAGAAAATTAGGATCTTCACAAGGAACGCTGCTGCGTTTTGGTGGCCAGTGCCGAACTACAAATGACGGATTAGGGTTAGGTGCAATGAGCAACGTCTGCTGATGCAGACTTGGCAACCACGCTAGCTCACAGATCGTAAACAATTACTACGTCCTTTTTTGGTCATTTCGAAAAGAGAAAAACAGACACACCCCTCAATGAGGAGACCTGTTTCAATGTAACCTTCGTTCCATCATGATTAAGACATCAGACTTGTGATTATTTCACTGAAGAATTCTTGCATATTGCTCCTTCAATTAATTCAACTTTTCATTTCTGCCTCAAAGGGTACCACAACCAGTAACCACAGGCCAGGTGGGCTTGGACAGACTTTCTCCCTTAATAAAAGAAATGATCACTAGTGTTGTGTGTTTTGTATTAACTCAGGAACTATTTCTGATACTGAACATTGCTTTCTCAAGTAAACACCAGCATAAATCTGTAAGAGGGTGTGTGTTCAATGCACTTTACGTTGAGTGTGAAAAAAAATCACAAAAATAATAATTTTCTACATAGAAAACCAGACTTTCTGTTCCAGAGCAACGTTATACAACTGGGATACTCGGATTGGCAACAGGCTAAAAACCTAAAAAGAGGAAAATACATTATTTGTAAGAATTTGAGTTTAAAAAGTCCCTTTTAACTTTAAAAAGGTGTAAATCCTTGAATCCTTTCTAGGATTTGAATAAACACTATAAAATTAGCTTTATTTGACTTTTGAATGAGGTTGTGTTGTTTTTGGTTTATTGTAAACACTGGGCCACAATAATGTAGTTATAGAGGGAAAACAATCACCTGTTCAAGGGGAACAAATAGAAATAATGTTGCTAGTGAGGGATGTTTGCAGCTTCACGGGGTTTTCTCAATACAAATCAAATTTCTTCCTGAAAAAACAGAAACATGAAGGCAAGTGCTGGTCAGGTGTGCTGAAGGATTCCCTGCAGCTGAACAAACCCTGTAATGCAGCACACGTTTCAGGCATAGAAATGGTTTTTGCGTGCTTTGTCTTCACAGCTTCACAGGATAACAACAAAGCACTACACAAGCAGCTACAGTAGAGTTACATCACTATCAAAATGCTGTCGGTGTGGCGGTTTGGTCCTCTCTTCACTTGCTACAGGTTTATTTTTTTTTACTACAGCTCACTTGCAGGAGAGTTCCTATCTTTTCCAGGTTCAGTTTGTTTGAAAACTAAATCCTCAGCATTAAGCTTCCAGTTTCCAGGACAAAAAACTAAACTTCTTTAGAAAGAAAGCAGCTTATTTAAAGTGATATTAGCTTTTATTTTTCTTTCAAGTTTTTAGTTTAAAGTTACAGTGTGTAGTTTCCTGGCACTAGGGGGCAGTACATGCATACATTTCAGGGTAGTTTTACAGCATATACCATAATTGTCGCTATTAAAAAAGCATTACGGTAAGTGTTGTCATCTGTAGAGAGCATGTGACCTTGGCGTGGCTGCTTCGACTTTGATGGTCTTTCAGTTAACTCCATCAAGAGACTGCAATGCCAATGCTAGTTTTCTGGCTTTGTAGTTCCCGGATCTGCTCGGCGTTCTGCATCTGCCGATGACGTCATCATACTATGGCAATACCACACGGCCAAAATATATTGCATCTCTTTTTTGATTTAATTTTTCACATAGATTTTTGTAAGGGCTTCGCAGTTTTGTTATTAAATTCATGTTTCGTTCTGCCTAAATGTTTTCGAACATGTTAACGTAATTTCCGTAGGTCGTACGTCCAGCCAGTCGTTTAGTGTGGGGTCATCGGCAAGCGCAGGACCCCGAGCTGGCCAGATGGAAACATGACGTCTTATGTGGTGTGCCCCAGAGGCTTAGACCCGCACCCTGGTGGCGCCAGTATTCGGCAGGCATCGCTTCTGCCAGTGCACACCAGGGCAGCTGTGGCTACATTGTATCCCCACCAGTGTGTGAATGTGTGTGTGGATGTGTGTGTGAATGGGTGAATGACTGATTGTGTTGTGAAGCGCCTTGGGGGGGGGGGGGGGGGGGGGGTAGAACCCTATGAAGGCACTATACAAATACAGGCCACTTACAAGAAAACCTACACACTGTCACTTTAAGCTTTCATCTGTTAGGATAATAACCCATAAATGATACATATTTAATTATGTTACTCTCACTAAATCTTTAAGAATCAACAGTTTTGTCCATAAAGATACGTCTCCAATAAATCTTTTTTTGTTTTTAAATTTTCTATTCATAGTTCTAATAAATATATTTAATTTTAAACTAATGAACAGCGCAAAAGATTGACACAATTTCTATTTTCTTTAAGTATTGCTTCCAAAAAGTCACAATAAGTCCTTATGGGATTTCTGCACTCTTGTTTTCAAACACTTTCCATTTGGTGATTCATCCGTTTTCAGCCCAGTTACTGTACAACAGCAGCATAATGTAGAGTGAGTGCTTTAAACAGATAAGAAACAAAGATCTTTGCTCTTTTGAACTTTAAAGGGAGATAAAAGTTGTAAGATCACAATAACTCAGAAACAATAAACCACTACCACTGCTGCTAAAATAATATGATTAAAAATCATCAAAATGACCATAATTTAATGAGGTTTTTAAATATCCCTAATTTGATCATCAGGCTTTTAACAAACATATTTTTGTAAACCTGGAGCTAAAATCTTGATTTATAAGTGTAAATGTGTACACTTGGCTTTATTTCACAGATCCAACTAAATAAATGAGATGTGTCCTTCTTTGACGGGCTGCTGGGAACAAAAATGAGCAAAGATCTTTTATGGTAGCTCTGCTGTGTGTCACAACAGCCTTTTCATGCCTAAATGAGTCAAAGTTAAGTGGTTACAATAATGATTTCCTTAAAATATTCAGGTACTGGACTAAAAACGCATGAAATCGATGCCTCAGACCAGGAATAGCTGGTTTCTTGGCAGCAAAATGTAAAGAGCTGAAGGATGACTCAAGACGTTTACGTAGAACAGGATTTCCAAGGACCGGTCACCTTGGAAATCCTGTGATAAACATCAATGTGAGTAATTTGTGCTTCTAGATAATAGTTCAGTTGGTTCAGTAATACAAGCCGAGTGTGTGCTTTTGAAATTACATATAAATGAAAGAGCGTTTTCATTTTCTTCACAACATATGACAGGTTGGACTCCAGGTTACTCTGCAGCTTCTGAAAAACATGGAGATCCCAGACTTTTTTCTCTTCCCAGCTTTGGGAGAGATGGATGATGTTGAATTATGTCTGTCAGGCCAGCGAGAGCTGCAACGAACAGAGTGCTCGCCTCGCCCCTCAAGTGTAATCGCAGCCCTGCACAAGCCGTTCTTTTCCTTTCGTCTTACCTTGAGCATGTTTCACAGCGAGATGAGCCGCCTGCTAACGTTTGCCAATGTGATCATTCGGGTTTGCTGATATTTTTGAAACTATTTCCTCAGATTTCTCAAATGAACATGAGCTACGTTTTAAGATTTGATTCTAATGACATGAAGAAACCAACTAGAACACATCTGACCAGGTGTACAGCCATAACAACATCTACGTTTTCTACTAACATAACAAAAGTCAGTCTACTACCCAGGGGGTCTTGAGATGATTTCCAGAAATCTAAATGGATAAACAGTTGCTGAACCTATATTTCTAGCATATATGTGAGCTGGATTTTCTTATGCCCTGAATGATTTAGCTTTTTAAGCGCATTTGTTTTGTCAAATCAAAGATTTTTGGGGTTGCATGTCTTGACAATTTCTATTTTGTATGTGAGAAGCTGAAAGGTTTGGGAACCGGACCCATCGAAAACTAAAACCTCCAGCTGATGTGGCTGTTAGATCTCTCAACTGCCGGTCTCTCACGCTTGCACCATCGCTCTCAGACCTTGTCCACATGGAAATGCTGTTTTGCCCCAAAAAATATTTTTATTTGGTGATACTAAAATATCCTTGGCACTGTTTTTAGAAATGTCTTCATCCATACAAAAACACTGGGAACTTCCCACATTACTACAGCAACTACACCACCCAAAAAATAGAAAAGGTGGCATTTCAAAGTATTTTTTCTCTTTTCATCAAAAACAAAACTAAAATAAAAAAGACCATTTCAGGTCTCCTACAAGAACATTTCCATGTGGAAGCAGGGCTGAGACTGTAAGAACCTTTGCATGTTGACAGAACACCCTTCTGGAGTGGACAGTCTGCCCAAAGCTGTGATGCATCTTCATCATTCATGTCTCTACGGTTTCCTTCTACACGTCTACATGTCCATATGCTTATCCAGAACAGTTTGTAGTAAAGTCTCGGTGTGAAGTCAGAAATAAATGCAGGTTCGTATTATGAGCATTCGTCAAGTTTATCCCCACGGAGTGTTCATGTGTGTGTGCATGCATGCATGTGTGTGTGTGTGTGTGTGTGTGCAGGATGAAAGTCTCAACCCCTGTTAAACGTCCTTGTGACTCACGAGCACATCTGAGGTATAGATTTAGACTTTAGACTGAGAACTATAGGCTATAGGTTAGCTACTTCCACAAAATATTTGAAATCTATCATATCAAAGGTTATACAACAAAGATAACTGTTACTTCATTACAAAAAATATAGACTACTAACATTTAGGATCTACTATCTAATCATGTCTAAAATATAGTTTAACTGAGACAGTTGCACAGTGACAGGATGTTCATCTCCCAGTTAGAAAACAGTGAAAAACTGTCGTCTGTTTTCTTTTCTTTTCTTTTCTTTTGGTGCCCAACAAACAGCATATTGAAAAAGAAATCAAAGGTTGTTAACATTGTACAGATACAAAAGCACATGTTGCAAGACGTAGTCAGGAAACACGGACACAGCCAATACTGACAGCTTTTACTCCTCCTCCATCGACTTCTCGATCTCTTTCAGCCTGCGGACAAACTCCTGAGCCTCCCTGTCTCCGGTGCGAGCGTCCAGCATCCTCATGATTGGTTTCTCTGGAAGCGAAGGAGCAGACAGAATAAAAAAGTTTCAGCACCTGAGGAAATAACTTTAGAATGACTGGCCTTCTTATTGGACCCCATGAAGCAAGAAAGAAATCAACCAAACCAAGTTGATACAGCCTGAGGGATGTAAGTACCGCTAGGTTTGCTGCGAGACAGGTGCAGAATAACGGGCTGGACGTTTTTGCCAGCTGGTGAGGCGTTTGGTCTCCCCGGCCAGCAGAAGTCACTAAGAGGAGCGACGGCTTCTCCAGCGAAGTCATTGGTGGAGAGCCAGTCGTAGTCCATCACAGTGAAGGTCAAACAAGCATACCTGTGTCTGTAATGCTCAGGACTGACGTGGCTGTAAGAGAAACAAGACTAACAAATGAAGTAGAAGGTACTTTAACAGAAAAAAAAGCGGGTTGGACCTGTTCAGGTTTACGCAGACAATCTTTACATTTAGAATTAGCTTACAGATGTAAAATTTATGCAGTAAAATATAAAGCATTTTATTTAAATATCCATTCATTATTTTACAAGCACAGAGAGCCGCATCAGATGGATGGAAGAGCCGCATGCGTCTCTAGAGCCACGGATTGCCGACCCCTGAGCTAGGGCATGTGCGGAGGACACACACACACACACACACACACACACACACACACACACACACACACACACACACACACACACACACACACACACACACACACACACACAAGCAAAATATACTTGTTTTCAATTACGTTTATTGGGCCCACTTACATTTTCTTAGGCCCACCCACAAATGAGTTTCTGGCTGGTGACTTTTGACAGACTTCTCTGAGCTCCGCAGCCATTACACTTTTCACCTTGCGCACCCCCTAGCGGCAGCTCGCGCACCCCCAGGGTGACTTTGATCAAGCTTCTTCCGACATTACTGAACTGTTAAAGCCTTATGCTCCAACCCAAGCCCTCAGATCCACACACCAGAACCTTCTAGAAGTTCTAAAGACCAGAAACAAAAGTCGAGATGATCACTCCTTCCAGACTGTTGTACCCCGACTCTGGAATGATCTTCCTTTATCCTTACGCAGCATTGACAGTCTGGACACTTTTAAAAAACAGCTAAAGACCCTTTTATTTAAAGCTGCTTTTACATAAATGGTTTACTCAAATTTGCAATCATCTTTCATTAGTTTTATGGTATTTTATAATTTTATGACTTTGTTTTTCTGATTTTATTTATTTATGTTTAAGATCATTATGATTTAATGACTTAATGGTTTGTTTTGTGTTGATCTATGTGAAGCACTTTGTGATTTTCTGTCTGTGATGAGTGCTTTATAAATAAAATTTACTCACTAACATTTCAGTTATTTAAAATTTTATTTGAAAATGTATTTTAGAATACATTTTTAGTTGAATTCACATGTTGCTTACTTCACAAAAAAATCTATGGAGATAAAAACATTTTTTGAAGTGGTGAGAAGCAGAAATATATCTTTTTTTTATTTCAGATTTTTTTTACTTATTATTTGTATACAATTTTATTGTGTTTTACATTTATGTGTTGAATAAATAAGATGAATTTATGGTTTGAGTGAACATTAATATGATTTATCAGTACTGGTCTTACCTGCGGGAGCTGCCAATTTTCTAGGGGTGGCTATGGCCACCCCTGGCCACCCTTTGGGGGCGCCACTGATAGAAAGGCAAGAAATTGAACTCACAAGTAAAACAACTCATCGAACACCGGATGCAGCGTCTTCAGTTTCACTTGTGTGCGTTGACTCTTGGCTGACGGGAAGAGGTGGTGAGGACAAAGCTCCACGATAACAAAGGGATCACTCAGACCTGAAGAAGTGCAGAACACATACCTGAAGTCCCACAAAAAACTAAACAAACAAAAGCATATGGTATTTTAGTGGAAAAACAATAGAATTATCTTACCATTGGCATCCAGGGCGATAATATCTGCAGCATGAAGAATCTCCACCGTCAACCTCTGCTCCGGAGCATCATAGTAGCATTTTACACTGATCCGACCGAAAGGGGTGTGTTTGAGTGTTTTCTGCATAAATATGTGCTCATGAAGAACTGACCTCAAAGCGTAAACAAGTATTCAACAATCCCAAGTGTTGCATTGCTTGATTGCATGATGCTTTTAAGACACCGAGAGAAAACAGGTTTTCAATCATGTGTAAAGCAACAAAAGACAGCGTGCTGTGCTCTCCAATCAATACCTTTGTGTCCACTTAAATGAGATTGCCTGCTAAGTTGAAACGCACCTGGAGGGAAATCTTTTCCAGGTAGTACTGTTCAATCAGATCAAAGGAGGAGCATTTATTCAGCCTGAGCTCTTCGTCCAAGACCTAAACAATGAGAACGGTCAGTCTGAGAAAGAAGGCTGACATAAAAGTGACCAGACACGACTGTGTACCTTATAGTCGCCGATCTTCATGTCTTCCAGGGATAGACCCTCTCCTTTGATGTGAAAGAACTGCAAAAGCGTCTGAAGCATTAAAAAAACAAGCAATCTATGAGTCATCACGCACCAGCCCAGCATAATCTGATTTATCCAATCAGTCCAGAAACAAGACTTGTTGTTCAGACAAACAGAATAAAAGCTCGAGCAGGAAGCAGCTGCCAGCTTTCTTACGTGCTCCCACTTATGAGTTCTGATGCAAATGTGTGTCGTCCCCTGGCTGCTTTGTGAATTTGTTACTAAACATCAGTTTCCACATTGTCATTCATAGAAGAACTCACGTTGGCACATATCCTCTGTTATGAAAACCAGACATGCGCTAACTACTGATTGAAGAAAACATCTTATAAGGAAATTGCTACATTTTCTATCTGATACAGGAACCACTGACCTCCACCGTGTACTGGAAGCGGTTGTAAAACTCCACCTGAACGCCCCTGTTTTCTGTTACCGTGTCCAGGATCATCCGCAGGAGCAGCTCCCACATGCTCTGCAGAACTCTACAAGGCAACAAACACAATTAAACACCCACATGTTTGTGTTCTCCTAATTGCATCCTTCCTCTTAAACAAACCTAAGTTATGCGTGAAGGCCTTAATTTCTAGTAGATGTTATGGTGATGCAACCCTGTTTTAAAGGGAATCATTTTGCAAAAACGTACTTTTTAGCTGTTTTATACAATTTAAGACTTTATGTCTGAAATCCTCTGAAAGGGTGAGGGGTCTTGCCAGCAGTCAGGCTCTTTTACACCGTGACATTTTCACTACAAAGCTGCCATGTTGTAAAAACACAGTCTTGTTGGAATCGGCGAGGCGCTTCCCAGAAAAGATGCCATCTGGATTGCAGCATGTGTTACTCTTAGATGTGTAAATATTGTTCAGCTTCAATAGGGCCTTCTTAGACGTGTGAGTTACTACAGCAGCGTGCACGAACACGCACACAACCATGGATGCCCGCGTTTGAGTGTGCTGGCAACAAAACCAGATGGTCTCCCTTCTCTCTCTGGGGCTGGAGGACATGCTGTCCATCATTTTCAGAAGAGACACTGATGATTGATGTCAGACAGGATCCTGATTTATTTGGAAAGGTTGTAACTTAGTTGTTCGTGACACATTTCTTATGGAGTTAGAGCCCACCAGCAGTGTTTTATTACACTTAAAAATGAAGAATTGATGGTTTTAGTGTTGGTAGCTGAAGCAGGAAATGTTACAACTGGTGGTGATGTACTGTGCAAGTGCTGCTTAGCACGCATTATTTAGTTATTTAGGTTTAACCCCCGGCTGGTTCAACAATGCATTATTTTTGATCATAATTTCAGTTTTACATGGTTCAGACAGTAAGCTGGATTGAGTAACAGTAGGGATACTATCTGACCTCAAGCATCAGATCATGGTCCCAGTGGTTGTATTTTTTTATTGCTTATATGAGAGTAGCTCCCGATCTCTATCGTTTACCTACTTTCTATGTTCTACACCAGCTGTGCCATAATAGTAGCCTAGAAATCTGGACGTACAGTAGTCGAAGTTAAGGGATTTTGCTCTGCATATCAGCCTAGCCACGCTCCTTAGAAATTAGAAGGTACCAACAGTCTTGTGTTTTACCAATCATAGCCTTCTGTTGGTTTGGTGGGTGGGATGATGTGATAGAGCTGATCAACAAAAATTGTGTCCGCCCATTTGAAACTGGTTTGGCATCAACTTTTTCTTTCTGTAAGAGCAGATAGAGGTACTTAAGTCTTTAATGTAGAAAAATGATGTATTTGCATCTTCTTCTTTCGGCACTCGCAGAGTACAGACGCTTCTGCTTTTGCACCCTTATCTTTTTTCCCAAGGCTCTTTGTCCTGTCTGCCCACAGAGCGCTTCTCTGCATTTCTTCTGAAAACCCCTATTTTTTAGAATGGATTTAATTAATTGGTCATTCAACGCGATTGACAAGATTTTTTCTAAGATGAGAACGGAGGAGGGGGCTCCCACTTGTCCGCAAGGGACACACGCAGCGGGATATATGCTCGATTCCTGGAGGGAGTGGAAGATCGTGTGCCTCTCTCAGTTGTCCATTGAGGATGTCGAAGATGTGTGGATATTTGGCTTGATGATCACTGGATTTCTTCTGATTGGAGTGGGAGGATATCTGGTTTTCTGGAAATTTGGGAAGACGGGAGCAATTGGAGGGCGACCCGCACCCACGGAAAGCACCGCCCGTGTGGAGACCTCACAGACTGGGACGTTACTCGAGGTGAATCGTAAGCTGGACAATGTTCTAGCTGCGATACCGGTAGTAGTGCGCAAAATAGATGTCATCTCGGAGAGGGTCACTGGATGGTGTGGAAATGTTTAAAACCTGAATTGGCTTCACTGGAGGACTTGAATGATCAGTTACAGACTTCAAGGCAGAGAGGAAAATTATCTCTGCCTGACCCAAACAAAGTCTTGTTATCCGAATCTGACGCCATGGCAGCCTTGTGAATGCCAACAACAAACCCCCACGAAGGAATGCAGACAGATGCTGTGAAAACCCGACCTACCCCCCCGCCTTCGGATTGGTGGACTTCAGCCTGGCGAGGTCATCAACCTGCAGGTGTCAATGTGCTCCGTGCTCCTCCCAAGATCTCCCTCCCACCTGTGGCTACAGTGGATGAGCGCCATACAGGGCTGCTCTCGCTGGGGAAGCAGGATCCCATATATACACATATATATATATATATACATATACATATATATATATATATATATATATATATATATATATATATATATATGTATATATGTATATATGTATATATGTATGTGTATATATGTATATATATATATACACACACACACATATATATATACATACATATATGTGTGTGTATATATATATATATATATATATATATATATATATATATATATATATACATATATATATACATATATATATATATATATATATATATATACACACACACACACACACACACACCCATATATATACAGGGTTTCCCCCAGCGCTTTACAAGCCTGGCGGGTGGCCAGGCTTTGCTTGGCCACCCGCCAGGCTAAGCGTCATGACCCGCCCCCCTCCCCAACCCTACCGTGTCCGCTGACACGAACTGTGCAACGAAAATAGAGCCCTACATCAGCTGATACTGGTGAGAAACAGCAGTGGAATGTGTGCAACCGCACCACTCATGGAGGAGCGCTGCGGGACGGATTGCGCGACCCTCCATATATATATATGCATGTAGCTGCATGGTGGCGCAGTGGTTAGCACTGTTGCCTCGCAGCACGAAGGTTGCAGGTTCGAAACTCGGCTGCGGCCTTTCTGCGTGGAGTTGCGTGTTCTCCCCATGCATGCGTGGGTTTCCTCCGGGTACTCCGGTTTCCCCCACAGATCACAACATGCCCTACAGGTTATAAATTGTAAGTCGCTTTGGATAAAAGCGTCTGCTAAATAAATAAACATAAACATACATATATATATGTATATATATATATATATATATATATATATATACAGTGAGGAACATAAGTATTTGAACATCTTGCGATTTTGCAAGTTCTCCCACTTAGAAATCATGGAGGGGTCTGAAATTCACATTGTAGGTGCATTCCCACTGTAAGAGACAGAATGTAAAAAAAAATAAAATCAGAAAATCACATTGTACGATTTGTAAGGAATTTATTTGTTCAGCAAGAATTCTGACTCTCAAAGACCTGTTACTCTGCCTTTAAGAAGTCCACCTCTACTCCACTTAGTAATCTTAATTAGTAGCACCTGTCTGAGCTCTTTAAAGACACCTATCCACCCCACAGTCAGTCAGACTCCAGCTACTACCATGGGCAAGACCAACAAGCTGTCAAAAGAAACCAGAGACAAAATCGTGGACCTCCACAAGACTGGAAAGGGCTAAGGGGAAATTGCCAAGCAGCTTAGTGAAAATAGATCAACTGTTGGAGCAATTGTCACAAAATGGAAGAGGCTAACGACGACTGTCAGTCTCCCTCGGACTGGGGCTCCATGCAAGATCTCATCTCGTGGGGTATCACTGATGATAAGAAAGGTGAGGAATCAGCCCAGAACTACACGGGAGGAGCTGGTGAATGACTTGAAGAGAGCTGGGACCACAGTTTCAAAGGTCACTGTTGGTAGAACACTATGCTGTCATGGTTTCAAATCACGCATTGCACGAAAGGTTCCCCTGCTCAAGTCATCACATGTCCAGGCCCGTCTGCAGTTTGCCAATGACCATCTGGATGATCCAGAGGAGGCATGGGAGAAAGTCATGTGGTCAGATGAGGCCAAAGTGGAACTTTTTGGTCTAAACTTCACTCGCTGTGTTTGGAGGAAAAAGAAGGAGAAGGTTGCATCCAAAGAACACCTTCCCTACTGTGAAGCATGGGGGTGGAATCATCATGCTTTGGGAGCGCTTTTCTGCGAAGGGGACAGGACAACTGCACTGTATTAAGGAGAGGATGAATGGGGCCATATATTGTGACATTTTGAGCAACAACCTCCTTCCCTCTGTTAGAGCACTGAAGATGGGTCGTGGCTGGGTCTTCCAACATGACAATGACCCGAAGCACACAGCCAGGACATGGAGTGGCGCCGTAAGAAGCATATCAAGGTTCTGGAGGGGCCTAGCCAGTCTTCAGACCTAAATCCAATCGAAAATCTTTGGAGGGAGCTGAAACTCTGTGTTTCTCAGCACCAGCCCCAGAACCTGACAGATCTAGAGAAGATCTGCAGAGGAGTGGGCCAAAATCCCTGTTGCAGTATGTGCAAACCTGGTCAAGCACTAAAGGAAACATTACATCTCTGTAATTGCAAACAAAGGCTTCTGTACCAAATATTAATACTGATTTTCTCAGGTGTTCAAATACTTATGTGCAGCAGTGCAAAACAAATAAATTCTTTACAAATAATATAATGTGATTTCCTGATTTTTTTTTACATTCTGTCTCTCACAGTGGGAATGCACCTACAATGTGAATTTCAGACCCCTCCATGATTTCTAAGTGGGAGAACTTGCAAAATCGCAAGGTGTTCAAATACTTACAGCCCACGTTAGGTGCTCATCTGATAACCTGTAATTTCAAACATTTTAAGTAGAATTACTAAAATAAATGAACTTTGCTTGATTTTCTAATTTTTTGAGTTCGACCCCTAGTGTGAAAAATGAAATATGTACAGTGAGGTGTCAGGAGAAGTCAGTAGGTACCTGCTAAGATTTTCCTTAACGAGATTTTCAGTCAGAATGGCCATTGTGTCTTGGAGGTACTTCATGAGAGGGGAGACAGCCTGGAAGGAATCCACATTTATGGTGTGACTGACAGAAAACTGACACAAGACTGGAAATGTTTGGTGGTTTGTTCCTAGAAACCTCATCATTGTTGATGGAGTCTGGAGACAGGCTGATGTGCTGAATGTACCTCCGCAGCTCAGGCAGCATCTGCACACAGGTAATCCATTACTGCAGGACATACTTGGATGCAAATGTCACTTAAGATTTCAGGAAAATAAAAGTACAGTTTTTATTTCACAAAAAACAAAAAAAAAGGATTTTTTTGAAAAGCATCAAGTAAGAACAAATTTGACAAAAAAAATTTGAAAATGTTTTCCAAACGTGTTTTTGAAGAAGTCATCACAGATAAAGCTATAAGGTTGCACATATTCATTAGTGTTTTCAAAGATTTGGGTCAACATTCAGGTTTTCACCTTGTCAGTGAGCAGCGAGATGATGCGTTTAGTTTCCCTTTGCAGGTCCAGGTCCATGTTGAAGAGCTGCCCATTGAGGGCCTTGTAAACCTGCTCCTTCCCCTCCACTCCACAGGACTCCTCCATGGCCCGCTCCACACCTGACCAGTCCAGGTCACGAGGCAGGTGAGTCAGGTAAACACGCACATGCTCTATGCTGTTCAGGGCAATGCAGAGCTAGCAGAAAACAAGGAGGAAGAGAGGAAAAACAGAGGATGGTGGAGGAGATAAAAAGAAGGAAAAGAAGCAGGGCTGCCAAGAAGCGAAGGGGATGGGGTGTGACTGTAAATCACAGAGTCTGGAGGCATGCATGTTGTACTTCCTCTGCAGAGCTGTGTTTACGGGGAACCCTTTCAGATATTTGTGGCATCATCCCCCTCCTCCAGTTCTGTGATGTTTCAGGCGTTACCTGCACTGTGAAGCCCTTGTGGTCTCGGCCCAGCTGATTCCGCTCAATCCTGCGTGTTATCATCTCTGAGTAGCACACAGCTTCACTGCAGAAATTCTGCGGGAGTTAAGATCAGCCTTTGTTGTTATAAAGTTATTTCTACTCTACCCTGATTGGTAAAGTCTCTCTTTAACTCTCAGTGCATGCACGTCTCCTAAGAGTCAACTCAGTATGACTGCAGGATGTGAGTGTGCATGTGTGGCAACACTAAAAGTAGCACTCACGTCTGTCAGGCGAGTGACAAAGATGAAGGCCCCCGCAGAGTCTGGCCAGGCCAGCTGGAGCCAGATCTCGCGTACCTGGCTGAAGCAAGCTGTCACTTCTACTGCTGATGAGCTGTGTTTGGCTTGTTGCAGAGGCTGGGGCTGCTCACAAAACACATGCTTTTTTTACAACTGTTGGTACGGGAAGAACATCACTTAATACTATACAAATCTGAATGAATACAAGTCAACGGGACTAAAAGAGCTGTTCTCTAATCTGCTTTGCCTCAGGCGCTGGATTGCACACACAAAAGTAACTATGTGTGTTTCGACCACGCCTGCCACGTCCTTTTAGATTTATCAGCTTGTAAAAGTTCGTAGCTAGCATGATCCTCCCCCCTAGCGTAGCTGCTGCTTACCACATGGCCAGCTTTATGGAGGTTTTTTGTCCTCCTGAAGGAAGGATTTGAAGATCACTGAACTTACAGCCATTTTCCCTCTGTTTTTCTCCATGTCTGGTTCGATGATGTCACTATCAAGACGCGCATTTGTAGGACGTATTTTCACACAAAACCTAAAATGATGTTTCACCCCGTTGGAAAATAAGCGCTGTTTTAGTATCAAAATGCATCTTTAAATGTCATCATATGTTAAATCCATGGCACATAACAAGCGGAGTTAGAAAACCGCCTTTTTAGTTCCATTGACTTGCATTTATTAATTCATTCATCCGAGAACCCATGGTCGGGAAGATGGGCGTGACTTAGGCTCCCTATACTCAACAACAAACAATGTGGCTTTGAATTGTCCGCCTCGTCGGGACTAGCCTTTAGCTCATCAGTCAGGCCACGTAATTAGTCTGTTTATTCAAACTGAGGTTGTTCAGAGAACTCTCTACAACAGGTATGTAATTATTTTTAGCCTTTAGTTTCTAACTCAATGGGTCTATAAAATCAGATACTCTGATGTGGTTTAAAAGCGAAAAATAAAAACGGATGGATTTCTGTTTAAAGCTAACATTATCTCCATTCTATTACTCATTACATCTCAAGGGCAGACGCTCCCCACCTGGTCTGCCTCCACTGCTTTGCGGATCCTGTCGCAGGACCTTTCATGAACAATCTGCAGCCACTTATGAATCGAGGACTTGAACCAGTTATGAAAACCTGTCAAGGCCAACATTTTTGCATCTCTGTTGGAACAAAAAGAACAGCGCACGAATTTTTATATAAAGATGAAGAACAGCGCTGACAGAAACGCATCAGGCAACTTTAGAGTGGTGCATGGATAATGATCAAACAGACTTCAGAGGAAGAAACTCCCGAAAGCCTTTGAGGATTTTCAAGGACACGAAGAGCTCAAAGATGGTCTCTCCCATCGCCTGAGTCAGTCTGGAGCTCTCTTGCTCCAGAGTTCCACAAACTCGCTCCATCGCTACGTTTACATCATCTGCTACCTGCCGGGAGGAAAAATTTGAAAGTGCCAGAGTCAATTTTAGCAACAAGCGTGGCGCATGACTCACAGAGACATCAGAAGATGTTTTTACATTGTTTCAAAGACTTGCCTGTTTTTCCAGCTGTCTGTATGATATGCTGAAGAAGTCTACTTTCACCGTACTGAGAGAACAAAGGAGATAGGTGCATCAGACCAACTAAACTAGAAAATAAATGTGCGCGTGTCAGTTAGCACAGCCTTTTCCACACTGTGTGGCTTCCTTCAAATTTACAGGGGACACATTTGCCTGCAGTTAAAAAAAACATTCACCTGTAGAACAGTTGGTTGTAGACGTTCTGGGCTCTTTGTACATCTGCACACACGGCATCGATCACTTGAACCAGTTTCTTAAGCTGCTCCTCCAGAGTCTGCTTTGTCCAAACACAATGAATAGCCTTCAAAATCCCAAAGGCACAGTCAGTTGATCTATAAAATCTGTTCTATCTTTAACATCATAAACTTACCCCGTCCTCGGGCTTGTATTGGGCAATTAGGCTTTCGTACCACTCAGCTGTTCCCTTCTGTTGGCACGAATAAAAAACAGGGTTGAGAGAAAGACTCCTTTGTAGATTCAGCACCCATCATAGTTCTCTTCCTGTATTTTTGCATTCATCCTCATGTCGCACCCGTGTGCCTTTGTGACCAAGCTACATTCACATAGCATAAACGGACGTTTTAGTTGCACTTTTATTGTTACCTTAACAGCAGTAGTGATGTCCAAATGCAGCTCATTTCGAAGAGGACAAACAGTCTTAAATGCTCTCATGTTTTGCATGTAGCCAATCCCCCTAGCACGCACACACAAGAGAAACCAATTACAAAACTAAAATTGCAGTTCAACTCATCACACAGTAACACACTGTTCTCAGAGTTTAGCAAGTATAAAAGCTGTGGTCTCACTAAAGGCTTTCAGTGTCGCTGTATGCAGGAATCTGAGTTATTGATGCAGGAGGGAAGAGATATGTCTTGGGCCGTGAGGTGAGTCACTATATTTGTATGTGTGTGCTTTTAAATCCTAAAGGTCAGACATAGCATCTCAACACAAACTTGTTGAGACTTTCTGTGAACACGGGGAACAAAGTGACCCAGTTAGCATGTCAGGGATGAAAAGACATCCAAATAACACATGAAATGCTGATAGATATCGAAGCTGGAATCAAATTTATGTGGTCTAAAAATGAAATTTTGCAACCATTTGTCAAACTAACGATAAATTGCATTTCTTCGGAAAATCTAGAGTGAATGTTAAGTGCTGAATGAGATTGCCGGATTCTGTTGAAGTGGAAATTAAAGTGGGAACTTGTTATAACAATAAATATGCTCAGGTGTTTAGTATAAATAATGCTTTGTGAGTAACTTTCACCAGAAAATAGCTCTGGTGCTCCTGCTTCAGGAAATCCAAATTAGTTGGAGGTGTGAGGGGGCAGAAAATGTTAGGATTATCAGTTTACTCAATAATATTCATGATATGAGCATCTTGTCTCGGATTGGCTAACAGCAATGCAACTCTTCCACTGCCTTCATTCATTTTTTTTGGGAGGTAAAACGTGTACTGCTGATGTTTATCTCTTCAAATAACACAAGCCTAAAAAAAATCTGCTAATTTATGAGGTTGCTAATCCTAGCAGGCAGCTTCTACTAGCCGAAATGCGCTCTGGTCTCTCTGGGCCGCTAAGCCAACAGAGCAGGGTCCAGCCAGCTGCGGGGCGTTTCTGCTTGGGCTACAGAAACGCCTTAATGGGGGTTACTGTCGCTTCTCACTAACCAAAGAATGGGCATCAAAATACGTTATTTTCCTCTGCTACGTTTGTCAAAATAAAAGTCTACACTAAGTGATTGCATTCCCTCGCCACGGCAAAATAACGTTGTTAATTTTTTTAGTGATATTTTGATATTGTAATGACTCCAACTTTTTCTTTCTGTTTCAGATCTTTATTCTGGGCCTAACAAATCGTAACCCGTTACACTATTGTTTAACAATGTAAAGCATGAACTATCTAGCCTACATTTGTGCACTTATACTAACCATAACTGTAGTCTGAAATGAATTTAAATATCATGAAACGTTAAAATTTTACTGTATTTTGAAAAGCCACTGGCTCTCTCCTGTTTAGCTGCGGTGTTTCGGGTGCGCTTCTCATGAGAAACAGTCCGAAGTAGAGGAGAAAAGTCTGTGCCCCACCTTATTGACATTCCGAGCTTAATATTTGTAAAACTGTGAGTAAAGCAGGAGATGGGACTTAAACGCAGCGGATAAAATATCTTATTTTGAAACATCAGAGGTGAAGTAGCATTTCAGGAGCAAATAAGATGAAGTGGCGTTCCCGTTGACAAACCAAAACGCCCCTTTTAGCGGCTGGCCGGATGATATTAAGTCAACACAGCCTTGGTCACAAGCCAAGGTGTTTGAGTCCCTGAATACAAATTTTCTAATTACTATAAGTTATGTAAAGCTGTCTGGCTTTTTGCTGAATGGGTGTTTCCCCATCTATTTTATTTCTGTAGCTAATGCAGGCAATAGGGGTAGAAGCCTATTTTAATGCCCCAGGCTGCGGTCCTGTTGGCTAGCCGCTCGTAGCTTGTAGAGTAACTTGTCTGTGATCACCAAGTTCTCTGAATCCATGTTTGGGTTTGCTGACATGATCCAGCATTTCCCTGTGGTCACATGATTCCTCCTCTCAGGATTTTGTTCATGACATTCACCAGGAATTGTGTTAATGAATAGCAAAGTGGCTATAGCCAACAAGCTAGCGCTGGAATGTGATTCCAGCACATTTTCTGCATGTTTTAGATTGTGAAAGCAGCTGATTTGTTTGATTTAGTGATGAGCCTGTCCTGCAGAAACTAATGAAGGCTGAGGAGACATATCAACAATTACATTAAGGTGTTAAGCATGAGTGCACAGTGGAGAAGAGTTTCAGTTTCATGACGGTGAATGAAAAAAGACTCTAGGGGGTGCTAAAATCAAATTGCTACGTTTTCCCTTTAAAGAACCCAAGTTGCAGACAGACGGAGACGAGGGACTGAGAAAAAAAATCTTTTTAATAAAAAAAACAAATAGCTGAGCAGAGCAGCAACAAACAAACAAAAAAACTTACACAATGACAACTGGTAGGCACACAAGAAGCAGGAAACAGTGAAGACGTCAACAGTAGGCTCTGGCGAGGAGACTGAGAAACAAAAAAACTATTTGATCACTGGATGAGATGCGCCGGTTTAACTGATTAATGGATGAAAACTGGTGGAACAGACTGAGAGACAAGGAATACCAAGAAAAGCAATGAATAGTAAAGCAGGAGGCAAACAGAAAATCAACTGATGACAGAAAAACCTAACAAGTAAGAAAAAACAATACAGACACGATGACAAAGACAGTTTCTATATACCTTAGCAAAAACACACAAACAGCTGACTTTATTTGCTTACATTTACATAAAAACATTCTATAATAGTTCTGATTTAAAGGTGTTACAGGAAAAAGGTTGTCTTTTTTCCGTGTACAAGGACTAATATTCATGATTATTTTTTGGATACCTGAGATTTCTGTTGGAACTTTTGTAATGCTCGTGTTAGTTTGCATTATTATGATTAGAAACAAAGAGATATTGATATTTTCTTAGGTAGGACTAAATATCCATCCTTTTGCAAATCTTCAAACTTTTATTTATGTTCTTTCTGAGAACGTGAAAAAAACAGCCTAATATCTAAGAAAAAATGTAATGATGAACTCACAAACTGTCAAAATACTGACACTAATTTTCACTATGATTTAGAATTAATGCCAAATTAGCAAGGACAAAGTTGTTAATATTCCCTCTGACATGACAGATGAGAAATGATCAGCAGATTATTGTAATATGCTACGATATTACTGCTGCCTCCACAGAGAGTGACTGACTGGTTGTAGTCTCTGTGTTTGTGAGGTGAAAGGCTGAATGTGTTCTCTGTGCGGCAGCACAGGATGATGTGATGGCAGTGTGACTTTACCTCAGCATGAGCTCGTAGCGTGTAATGGCTGCGGCGCTGGTGCAGGGGAAAACCTGACGCATGTTCTTCATCAGGCACAGGCAGTGCTCGGTGTACAGTCTGAAGCTGTCTGATAGCTGCCGCTCCTGGACACAGGAAGGGCTTTCAGTTATAGCTTCCAGTACACCGGCTCTGAGACATTTTTGGCTGAACCAAAAACACTGATGAATGCCAGTGAAGTGCTGAGCTAATGAGATGACTGTTTCCAGGCGAAGGAAGGTTGTTTTGTGTATTTTTTTTTTCCAATCAGGGAGCCGATAATGTAGAATGTACCAGGTCTCCCCTCACGGCGGGAGGATCCCACTCTGCATCGATGGTCCTCAGGAGGCGCAGCAGCAGGGAGTAGCACACCCTCTGGTTCCTATGGTGGCTGCTGTAGCAATGCCAGCGTCTGTATCAAAACAAAGACAAAATCCACCATCCAGCAAGTGCTCCAGCTCTCAAATTTGATGTGATCAATTTTTTTTTCAATCATTAATACCTACACAATTGCCTGCTGCAGAGGTGAAAGATCAGTTTGCACAGCATGGTGAGTTAGTATGGTCCATGCTGGAGGAGAAACCTGCCCATTCCAGTTGTACGGCTCTCTCTAGAATAGAAATGAAACACTACAACATAACTTCTGTCGCCGTTTAAGTTAAAGGGGACCAAGAACAACATTTTATTAAACAATTCAAAACCCTCTCTAGATCATATGAGAGAGGCTTTGGAGAATTCAAATTACCCAGAACTCGAACAACCCGCAAAGGTTTTTGTGTGTCTGTATGTGGTGTGAAAATCTGGAACCGTCTGAGTTTACAACTGAAACAATGCAAAAACATTCATAGATTTAAATTCTCTACAAACAGTTGGTCTGGTCACAGTATACTCAATGATGGTTTTAGTGTGCTCTGTCATGTCTGTTCTCTTATGGATACCAAAAAAAAAAAAAAAGAAAGAAAAAAGAATGTGTGTGCGTATGCATGTACAAATATGTACATGTGTGTGTAGATACACATGTATGTATGTGTGTTTGTTACTGTGTAATTATTATTGCCTGTTTACCTGTGGTAACGCAATTTATAATTAATATATGCTGTATTGAGTTATGAAGGTTCTATTTGTTTGCGAGCTGCTGTTGTGACGTTTGCATGTGCCCGGAGCTGTTGATGGGTTGTTTGGTTTGCTACGATGAGCGTAGCTGCGGGAAGCTTATTGTTGTTTTAGTTGATGAGTGAGTATAGGGATGGGATTTAATAAGTTTTCTTCGTCCCACTCCTTTTCAGGTAATTTTTGCTTCTTGTTTTTGTGCACTTTATGTTTTATATATGTATTTTGTTGTGCCTGAAATGAAAAAAATTTTTTTGTTGGGACTCACAATGGTCCATGAGCCCCGCTAAATGGTCAAACACAGTCTCATAACACAAACCTACAATTGAAAGACTGATTAACCCCACCCACTTGGCCAGAATATGAATATTAAATGAGCTGTGTACTGATACCTCGATGGCCCAATGATGCTGTCTGAAGCAAGAAACTGTACAAGAGTGTATGTGTTGTGTGGATGAAGGGGGTAGTAGGGGGATGGAGTGGAGAGGACGGGGATCTGTGCGCGGCTCCAACGGAGGGAGGGGGAATATGGTTGGATCACACCACACTATCTGGCATTCATCGGATATTCACTAAATATTCCCAGCAAATTCTTCTTAGTTGTTTTCCTCACACCCAACAAAGACATTAGCAGTTGTTCAGCTAACATTAGCTAACATGGCAACTCAATTTCCCCCTTGGGGATTAATAAAGCCAACCTTATTAGCAGTAGCTCGGGCTAGTGTTGCTTTCCATCCATCCATCCATCCATCCATCCATTTTTCATCTGCTCATCCGCGTTCGGGTCACTGGAGCAGCAGCCTATGCTGGGAGGCCCAGAAGTTCCTCTTTTCAGCCACTTGGGCCAGTTCTGGAAAATCCTAAGGCTTTTCCAGACCAGCTGACAAATTTAGTCCTTCCAGCGCATCCTAGGTCTTTCTTTAGGTCTCCTCTCAGTTGTAAGTGCCCCAGAAAACTTCACCAGGGAGGCATCCAGAAGGCATCCTAACCAGGTAAACTAGTCACTTCAGCTGGCTCCTCTTGATGTGGAGGAGCAGCGGATCTACTCTGAGCCTCATAGATAACCAAGCTTCTCACCTTTTCTCTAAGAGAAAGTTCAGACAACCTGCAGAGAAAATTCATTTTGGCCGCTTGTATCCTTCATCTCATTCTTTCGGCCACTACCCAAAGCTCGTGACCCTAGATGAGGGTTGGAACGTAGATCAACAAGTAAATTGAGTGCTTGTCAGACCGGTACAATGCCCACATCACTGTAGGCACAGAATCAATCCACCTATTGATCTCCCACTCTACCTTTCCCTCATTCATGAATAAGATACTTAAACTCCTCCACTTGAGGCAAGCCTTTGTCCCTGACCTGAAGAAGGCATTCTACCCTTTTCCAATTCAAGACCATGGTCTCAGATTTTGAGGAGCTAATTCTCATCCCAGCTGTTTCACACTCGGCTGTGAACCATTTCGGTGAAAACTGGAGATCATGGTGTGATGAAGCCAACAGGAACACATTATCTGCAAAAAGCAGAGACCTGATCCTCAGGCCATCAAAATGCAACCGCTAAACACCTTGGCTGCACCTAGAAATCCTGTCCATAAAAGTTATGTACAAAATCACTGACCCGGGGTAGCCTTGGCGAATCCCTGCTCTCACCTGGAACAAGCTCATTTATTTTCTTTATTAAACATATAAATCAATAGACAAATTAAATTATTCAAAAAGAAACCCATACATATGCATATGCATATATATGTAGAACACGTTCAATAGGAAGGGAAAGAAGCTCTGGTAACTTATATAATCCCGCCCAAATCAAATTTCAAGGAAGATGAAACAAAAAAAATCTTTTCCCTACACTGAGTGTCATAGCCATTTTCTTATAACATGTTTTATCCTCAATCACGCAAACAAAATATACATTTTTTATGCCCCCTACTCCAATATTCACAGCTCCCAGTTCACCAACAATAGACAATTACAATCAAATGCAACAACCTTACAACTTTTCCTCCTCCTCCATGTAATTAGTGTAATTCTTTTATACTTCTCTTTAACTTATGCAATGAGGGACTTTGCTTTAGATCCCCATTTAGCTTATTCCAAACTTTTACACCCGTAACAGAAATACAAAATGACTTTAATGTTGTTCTAAAATATGTATGCCTAAAGTTAAGTTTGTATCTGAAATTATATACGTTATCTGGTTTTATAAATAGCATTAATAATTTGTTTGGTAATAATTTCCTATGCACTTTATACATGAACGTTGCTGTATATAGTTGAAGTAAATCTTTAAACTTTAGTATTTTAGAATATATAAATAACGGATTAGTGTGTTCTCTAAATCTAACATTGTGAACGACTCTCAGGGCTCTTTTCTGTATGATAGACAAGGGCACAATAGATGATTTATAAGTGTTACCCCATACCTCTACACAGTAAATAAGATAGGGATAAATCAATGAATAATAAAGGGCATGGAGTGATTTTGTCACAAACAGAACTCAGAAGACCCGTGAAGACACCAAACACAGTAAAAATAGATTAAAAAAAGCCTTTATTTGCAGCAGAGTTACCAGGAGGGCGAGGCTGGAGACAGAGTCGGGGACAGGCGAAGGTCAAACTGGCAGGCAGCGTGCAAGGCAGGGGTCAGGAGAAAAACAAGGTCCGGAGGCATAAATCAGGCAGTGTGAATCGCTGGAGAATTTACTGACAGGGCTGTAAATAATCTGGCAGGGAACTGGTGGTTTACTGGTGAATATACGTATAGTGGGGGAAGCAGGTGTGTAAGATGAGCTGAGGAGTCAGGAGCAGGTGAAGTGGATGAAGCTGATTGTGGTAGTCAGGGAAACAGGGCTTGGCTGGGGCTTAATGATGAGACCAGGTGTGCTGCATGAAGGCTGAGGAGGGTGAAGGATTGGGAGTCATGACAGATTTATAATCCAAGTACTGCCAAGCTTTATTCATAATGTAGATGCTTCTCGCAACCTTATTATATACATGTTTAATTTGTGGTTTCCAACTTAATTTATTATCAATTATTATTCCAAAGAACTCATGTTCTGTTACTTGCTCAATTTCACATGCATTTATTTGCAGCTTAACCTCAGTTTTATTAGCCATACCAAAAAGCATACACTTGTTTTTCCTATATTTAATGTAAGCTTATTTTCAATAAACCACTCTTTAATAGCGCACATTTCAATTTGGACCATCCTTTCTAAGTCGCTAATGTTAACTTCTGCACAGAAAATAGTGGTATCATCAGCAAACAAAACAAATGCCAGTGTATTTGTTACATTACTCAAATCATTAATATATAATAAAAATAATTCTGGACCCAGCACAGATCCCTGTGGTACTCCACAAACAATGTCCAACCATGAAGATGAACATTCTCCAAACTTCACAAACTGTCTCCTCTGTTGAAGACAGCTTGTCATCCAGCTCAACACTACACCCCTAATCCCTACCTCTCTGCCTTTTCAAGTAACATTTTATGATTCACTGGCACAGTTTAAATCCAGCCTGAAGACACATTTCTTTAATTTGGCTTTTGGTCAATGATCGGTCTTTTATGCTCTGGCTCTTCTGTTTTACTAACTTCTGTTTTTATTGACTTCTCTTTTATTGGCTGTTTTATACATTTGTATTGTTTTTAGGTGTTTCTATTTTATGACAGCTTTTATCTATGTTTAATGTGTATGTGTATTTTAAATGGCTTTTTAGGTTTAACTCTGTGCAGTGCTTTGGTCAGCTGACATGCTGTTCTTAAAGGCGCTATATAAATAAAATCGATTGGATTGGATTAGCCGTATCAAAAGCCTTTTTTAAATCAATAAATATCCCTAGAACATGTTTCTTCTGATCAACTGACATTGTAATTTCTTCCACAGAATGCACCAGAGCTAGTGATGTTGAACTATTCGATCTAAGTCCATACTGACAGTCTGATATTATCTTGTATTTATTCAAAAATATTTCGAGTCGGTTATGAAACAGTTTTTCAAGAATCTTGGAAAATTGTGGAAGCAATGAAATTGGTCTATAGTTCGTAAATTGATGCTTATCCCCAGTTTTATCTATTGGTATAACTTTTGCAACTTTCATTAAGTTTGGGAATACACCTGATTGAAAAGACAAATTGCAAATATATGCAAGTGGTTTTGAAATTCCTTCTATCACCTTTTTTACCGTCAAGTCAATGCCATGATTGTCAGTTGATGTTTTACCTTTACATGTTTTTACAATTTGTATTATTTCTTGTTCCTCTACAGCTGAAAGAAACATGGAATGAGGATTAGGTTTGATTTTTTTAAGAATGGTGTATGCGATGTTGAAGAGCTAGATATGTTTTCTGCCAATGCCGGCCCTATATTTACAAAGAATTTATTAAAGCTATCAGCCACATCACTATAATCATGTTTTACAACACTGTTTTCAACTAAATATTTCGGAAATTTATCATTGCCTAAATTTGGTCGAACTACATTATTTAATATTTT